CCGCGATTCATCGGGACGATCGCGAAATTGCACCACCGGATATAGAATTCAGCGGAACGGGCTGAGAACTTTTGTCCCCGAGCGAATGAGGAACGAACGAAATGAGACGTTTCATTCAAACGAGACGGGAATACACCGCCGTGTTTTATACAGCATCCGTGGTAATTATTTTTGCATAGAATAACCTCGGATCGGTTTCATCGGCTCTCATCGGCGGAAAGAAACATTCGCCGGAAGACAATATTTCTCGGCCCGATATTTTTAGAGTGGTCGTCCGGATGTATGGGATATTGATTATGTAAATGAAATTTTGAAAAACCCTGATTGGAGATACCTTAATACATTGAGTGCCGATAATGAGGGATTTTTAGACTATCCTTTAATTGCTAGTCCCAAATTAATGTAACATTCTAGATATGTAGAACACAAATCCAAAGTAAAATTATAAAACCGAATTCCTTACTCTATTTCGTAAGTTACAAATTTCGGTTTGATTGACGTTCAACCCTTAGCACTCCAGATGGTTTTGTGATCTATCAGCAACTGCTAATTTTTATAGTATTCCTAGCGAAAATGAGAAATGCTGTAACATTTCTTACTGCAAAATTTGGATGCGTGAAAGTCTAGTAATTGTAGGGTAGTTTCTTTAAGATTCATTAAAATTTCTAATATTATTCCTGGTGTAATATTAGAGCCTACGGAGTTCAAAGGGTTAAAAATGTACCAATATAATCAGTAGTAAACTATCGTTCCAAATTTCACAACTTTTGTATCTTTCTGAAATTTCTAAAATTTCAACTTGAACTTTAATAACATCTCATACATCCCCTCACTGAAATGTTCATATATATTACACAATTAATTACCAACGCCAGACAAGACGAAACGTGTTAAAGCATCGAAACCTCAAAAGAAATCTCATCTCTGTATAGAATGAAATTCCACCACTATCATCCACGTAGAGAGCGACAAAAGAGTCATTAGTCAAAATATCCACCGGACATTCCACGTACATTAACCCCTTGTCATATACCGACGCGTGAGACACGAGGATCTCTAGTTCAGTTGAATAAATCTCAATACTTCACCTACGAAATCATCGTAACTGAACAACGAACAAATCATTCTCTCCTGAGAATAATTCGACTGCGGATCCTTAAGCAGATTGAACTCGACAGAGAATGATTTCTCCCAAACCTAAAAATCACTAACACTGTCATCCAAACAACACATCTTCCCTAACAAATTCGCTTACACGTTTCCGTGTCACATCGCACACATCGCACTTATTCCCACTGCATAAAAATCCGCAGTCCAGTGGCAAGAAAGCGACTCTGCCATTTCACACGGAAGAGAATCGTATGGCAAGGGGTTATCCTGTCTCCGCGCAGGAAATCGGGACGACGGTTGAGCGAAACCGAAAGACGAGAAAAAACAGAAGAGAATCGAGAATTCGGCCGGATCAGCTCACGGACAGGAATTTATAACCGAGCGGGGCTTTCCACCGTGTAAGCCCCGATCACCGTTGACGCGATAACGATTGGAAGACGATAAAGGTCGGTTTCCGCGCGATAAACGCTTGTTGCTCGCGGTCGCGGCGAATATTCGCGCGGCCGATCGACCGGAAACACGGGAGCGGCGATGATCGCCACCCTCGGCCGCCTCGCGGTAAACAATGTGCAATGTACACGGAGCCCGGTCCGTAAACCTAATGCAGAAACATTTTGCATGAAGGTAAATTTGGGCGGCGCGCGTCAAACACGCAGGGACGTTTGTGCACACACGAATTGTAATTAACCCTTACGCTACCAGCGCCACGCGCGTTCGACGGGGTGGCCTCCTTGTTGGACTCAAGGAAGACGTCACTTGTATCCTTAATTAACCCCTTGCGTACTATTTACTTTCGTTACTAAGCTCGTGTATCGTTTTATCGACAATTTGGAAGAAACGCGATAAAATTGTTCATTCTACTTCGAGTGGGAATTTTGTTTGAAGATAATACGATGATAGCAAAATATTGATCCGTGGGTGATGATTAGCATTGATTGTTGTTAACACTAGCAAACTTACAAAGTTCAGTGTGTTGTATAATATTATAGTTCATTTAACCCTCTGTGGGCCGAACTTTTGTTCACGATTATAACAAACTCTATGCAGTACAAAATTAATAAATATCCACATATGAATACGAATGAACAATATATTCAATAGTCTCAATAATTTCAAACGAATATATTTCGTAACTTTCAAGTTACAATGACGTTAAATTTCATTTTATTCACCACTTTGAAAATGAAATAAATCAACCAGATGCCACTATAATGACACGTGACTTCAAAGTTACATGAGCCTATAGAGGGTTAACGTGATTACCCATAAAACGTTAAAATAGAATAGTCCTATCCCTTGGTTTCTATATTATTTGTATTAACGTTAGTTATGAAACTTACCATTGATGTTTCATTAGAAAATGAAGAGTATATCTAGCGAAATGTTCGAGTGCAAAGGGTTAATTGATTCCGATACAGTTTCGTGGCTGTTCGTCGTATTAGGTCAGGAATGATAGAACATCTGCTTCGCGCTGGTCGATTTTCCTTTGAGAATCTGGTAGCGAACGGGTTAATACGCGATTGCTGGGGGTGGTCGGGCGCGGGGGATGACGGGAGTCGGGGAACGGTTAGTAGGGGACAGGATTCGCGTGACTTCACGTGCAGCGCCGTCTTTGAGCGTCTTCGAGACGGCTCGCTGATAGGGGATGCTGCATTGCTTGATTTCCATGAAATTTGACGGGCTGAGGGCTTCAGATCTGTGTAGCCATGATTCTGGCCGTCGATAAGCCGGCAGTTTTCAGAAATTTAGAGCTATTGTGAGGAACATTCTAAATACCAACGTTGAAGATGGTTTTAGTATTAGTATGTGGAATTTTCTTTTTGTAAACAGTCGTCTAAGATTGATAATATTAACCCCTTGACGTATTATTTACTTTCTCTAAGCTCGTGTAACATTTTACTATCGACAATTTGGGAGAAATGCAATAAAATTGTTCATTCTACTTTGAGCGGGAATTTAATTTGAAGATAACCCATCGGTAATAGCAAAATAGTTTTAATGAGTAAATTAGTAATGAACAACATTGGTAATTTTTAAATTAATCGAGAGATCATCACGAGTCTCACTCGTCATTGTATGGCAAAGGGTTGACATTTACAGATATTCTATATTTTATTCTATCTCCCTTAGAAGACTACATGTTTGTTCACATACATCGTGGAAATTAGGGTTTGAAGAATAGAATTCTAATGTGTAATTGCAATTAACATCGAAAATTGCTACGAAATAAAAAGACTCAGTATCAGTAAAATTGACGGGTTTCGTAAATCTGTTAGAAAATAGTGCAACGTTCAACGTAGCGTTAGATAAATTTTTTCTAGAAGAGTTGACGTTTGACAGTTAGAATGTTTCTTCACAAGTAACTCTTCGAATATAGATGGAAAGTTTGGGAATACTGTGCGGTTAGGTGCATTCGTTTGGCAGCGTGTTCCTTCCAGCTAATGTTTATTGCTACAAGGACGCTTCGCTGCACGAACGCGCGTAGCTTCGCAGTTTTGCCAAACTTGGACACGTACAGCTTTCTAAACTGGCCGCGTATCTACGGGTGTAATTATGGTTACGATTATCCTGGATCTAAACCTATCGTCCCAGCAAATTTCATTAAAATCGTAGGGGGCAACTTCTGAAACAGCCTCTGTAAGTCTCTCTGGTGGATTCGAACTATTCCGGCGAACTGTGTCTGGAAAGTTTCGCGGCTATACTTTTGCGAAACACCGTGCAGTTTATTCTGCGCGGAACAAGATGATCAACGAACTGCGGATCTTTATACGGAATTCAATTTTCTTAGTATAATTCGGGAACGCCGGGGTTAAGGGAAAGTTTATTTCCTCCGACAGTGATTCGAGTATGTTCGTATTCGATTATAACGGAAACAGAACTGGATTCCACTTTATATATCCTATATTCCTTCAATTTATCATTTGTTATAACTGCCTGAATATAATTAATGAATCACTTTCTCTTCTATCATCACGCAATTTTTCATTCGAGAATCCAAAACTATCCCTCTTCTATTTTTATCGAAAACATCGAACTTCGATTCCACATAAAATTGGAGGAAAACAGGAAATAAGCTTCTATTTTTATTCAAACCTTTTATCAAAGTCTAATTATATAAAACTGCATCAGAATACTCGGGATATAAATCATTTTCTATTTCCATTAAACCTGTCACTGTTCAATTATACACAAAACTAGATCACAAATTTAGAAACATAAATCTCTTCTATTAAAAGATACTAATCAAACAGAAAATTAGATCAGAATCCTTGGAATACAAATCCTATTCTCTTTCGTATAAAACCTATCAAACTTTAATTACACATAAAATTAGATCAAAGATCTAGGAATATACATTACCAAGAAAATGAATTAACGAGTACACTAAGATATTAATGTCGTCTAATCGTCGAGACTTTCCACACACATAAAATTAGATCAGAATCCTCGGAATACAAATCCTATCCTCTTTCATACAAAACCTATCAAACTTTAATTACACAAAATTAGATCACAAATTTAGAAACATAAATCTCTTCTATTAAAAGATATTATCTAATCAAACAGAAAATTAGATCAGAAACCTCGGAATACAAATCCTATCCTTTTTCATATAAAACCTATCAAACTTTAATTACACAAAATTAGATCAAAGATCTAGGAATATATATTACTAAGAAAATGAATTAACGAGTACACTAAGATACAAATGTCATCTGACGATCGTCGAGACTTTCCAAACACATTCCGCGAGACAGAAAAGAATTTTTCCATGGTTAATCATACGTGAGCGACAGAGTCCGCACACGGCCGGTTAAATCGTATCGGCCTGGGCCCGCGAAGCCTGTAAAATACCTGTATCGGGAAATATTTGCCTTCTGGTCACTCACCTAGGACCCGCACTTCGACCGACCGTTGGGAGGTGATGTTATGCTTGTCCCTCGCGGTGCACGTGTACGTGCCCTGATCCGCGTCTGATTGCACGTTATCGATGGACAGACTGCCGTTCGCCACTCTCTGTCTCATGTTGGTCGGCAGCCTCACTCCGTCTGACAACAACAACAATAATGCGTCAGTATACGGGAATGGCAGTCGCGATCGATCAAAATTGCAGAGAAAATAGAGGCTGCCCGGCCGAAACGACAGGTTTCCGGTTAATCCGGACGGCGCGATAATTTCTCTCACCTAATAGACTAAATACGCCGCCGCCTCTAGCTACTTTCACTGCGAACGGGAAATTGCTGCGCGAAGCTTTTCGTTAAGTTTAGATTAGTTTTATAAATGATTACTTCTTTATTTAGATATATACTTTTGTAATTCTGCTTTGTTTTGATATGTTGTTTTCAATGTTTAACTCTTTGCACTGTGTAGGCGTCTGTCAGTTGTTAATTGATAGGACAAGGAATTTATAAAGATTGATATTTAGTATTGAACTTTGTATGGTGGATCAATAGATGAAATATTGAGAGGAAATGATTCTATTCGATTTGTGTGATTTCTTGGGAAGTTTTAGGTAATGTTTGATTAGAAAATGTTGAGTGTTTCTGGTGTAATATTTCTAGAGTACAAAGGGTTAACCAGTTAAGTCATGACGATTATATCCGTCACGCGTAAAATTTTGTCACAATTTGATATTTAAATTGTAATTCCGGCGAAAACTAAATTATACTCGTAAATTTCAATATGTTTAAAATGTTTAGAGGTCAAGACGAAATGAAACAAACAAATGAAAATTATAAATAATTTGAGTTGGATTCACTCAATGTTTTTCATTAAATATTCAACGTTTCCTGATATACATAAGTTAGAAAATGATTTTATTTCAATACTTCCTGAGGCATTGTACAAAGTTTAACATTAAATATGAACCTTCCTAATTTTGACGAGTCAAGCGATCGAAGATGACTTTTAACGAACGTTAAGAATACTACAGAATGCAATTTATTTGATGATAACACGCGACGAGAAACAATGCTCCGTACGGTCGTCCGCGATAATTGATATCGATATTACCTTCGATTAAAAGGACCTCATGATTCGGCCCGACCACCGAAACGCGAGCGAGGTAACGTCGGCCGCACAATGAAACTAAAACCCGTTTTACTCACCTTTCTCCCAAATGATCGATTCAATGGGATACCCGGCGACCGGGCATTTGATGTGAAACTGTTTCCAAGCGACCGCCGAAACCGTGGTCATGGGTCTGACGTATGGCGGGCCTGCAATTGACAAGCAAATAATACGTGTGTTTCGAATAAATAATTCCCGGCCGCACAAGTTAATGTTTTCTCCTCTTCCTTCCGTGTTCCGTTCAGAGGCGACCCGATCACCGATTGAACGAATCGGCAGATGAGCTGTTCGGCTTACGGTCTTGTAGTTTTCATCGGTCACGTGTCACTTTATCGATGAATAGTAATTAATAATGGAAAATCTCAGGAATTAGGAAACATTAATAGAAAATGGGGTAAGATAAAATGAGAACTGATCAATCAGAATTTGTCAGTCTGGCTGCCAAGTGATTTAACAATGCAGTTGGAAGATGACTTGATGTTTAATGGAACAGCGCAGGAGCAAGAGGTGTCCTTTTGATTTATAATTTCATAATTTCTAGATATTTCTGATATTTCTGATAGATATTTCTGATTCTCGTTTTGAATGGAATAAACAATATTCTTTTTAGTTACCAAAGCATTCACTCCTTCCTTTGACTTCTAAATACGTTCAACAATAATTCCAGAGCTTACAACATTAATTTTATGAATTTTTCTTTTCTAAACTGCATTAGTTTCCAAGTGACTTAATTAGCGATCGAAGATATCAAGAATCAAGAAATAAAATCAACGAAGAACAATAGAAAAAACGAATCAATCGAATTCCAGCCATCGAGTGATCTCCCAGCAGCACTTGTCTTTATACACGTATACAGTTCTCCTTTTTTTTCGGATTCGGTTTTTTACAGGTTACCGGTGTGGAATCGATTCGGCAGCCGCGGAGGAACGAGGACGAAGAAGGCTACCTTTTATCTTCTCTTCGTTCCAGTTTGCCGCTCTCGGGAAAATAAGAACCACCTGGCTGACGCTTTGAGAGTTTATACTGAAGTTTATGGCACTGTACCGCCCCCGCTGGATGAAAGCATTTCTAATTTCGTTCGAATCCATTTACACTAGGATGGAGCTCCATCCGCCGGGTGGCGTGCCTCTACTTCGTTTAGCATGGTGATGTACAAGAATATTCACGGCGGGAATAAATAGACGTTGATGTTTCGCGAGTTGTGCAACGGATTAATAGTAATGTAGTATATCCCAGCGACGCTATTGAAAATAAATAATATTTACTTAGCGAACAGAGACTCGCAACTGTTGCAACATCCTTTCAACTCGTTTTCCTATATAATTTCAGGAGCTTCCTATGCATCTAAGATATCTATACATTTATTTCATTAATTGAGCCCACTTTCGGTTAATTTTCAAAAAACTAAATTGCGCGGATGATTTTAATTAGATCAACTAATATACCGAAAAACTGAGATATCGAAACGTTATGTAATATATTTTAAATAATTCGAATCAAATTCAATATTCTCTTCAGTACTGTGATAATTAGCAAACATACATTTCTAAGCTTTACATAAAATTTCTCGCGAATAATCTCTATTACCTTCAGTCAAAGAAAATATCAAAACTAATATTCCTCCAACACTCCGAAAACAAACATCCAACCACAGTCCTTTGAACTCACCTGTACAAACACGAATCCCTAAAAAACTAAAAATTCATTAAATCACTGAATTCTCCGCAATTCTCACAAAACCCTCTGCTAGCAACCCCCATCTAGAGCAGAAGAATCGCGGCAACTCGTCGAGGGGGGAGGGTTTTTAATTAACAGGAGAAAAGAAACTAGTATTCCTCCGACACTCCAAAAACAAACATCCAACCACAGTCCTTCGAACTCACCTGTACAAATTCCTAAAAAACTGAACTTTCATTAAATCACCGAATCCTCCAGAA